CTCTTCCTTACTTTAACAGGAGCACTGTCTGTTGCGTTTCCTTGCTGCCAGTTTAGGGGGCTGTCATGAAGATTGTTCTGCATCAACGGCAGCAGCACCTCCTTTCATATTGGAGTGGCAGCAGCAAAACTCTGCTAATCAAGCCGTCGATCTAGTTTCCTAGGAGCTGCTGGAAAGGAGCAGCCAGCGAAGAGCCACCAAACTAGTTTTCATCAGATTTTGATTCTGAAGCTCCTGTAGTGCCCTGATTACGACTGTCAGTCTTCATGCCCCTAGTGTTACGCTGACCTGGCCACATCAGGGTTTAAATGGCTCATTTCCTACTTGAGGAAACTCAAGTGAGGTATCTACCTTGCCAGAAGTCATTTTGCTCTGTAAAGTAAGAGGGATGAAGGCCCACTTGGTAGAACCTGATCACACGGCGGTGGAGATTTACTACCTGCCTCATATATCTGTAAAGTTCAGCTTGACGTGCATAGACTTAGCTTAGCTCAGCTTGATACATTTATCTTAGGTCCAGATTGAAAGACTTTGCTTTTTACTCCAGGCAGCAGAACTGTTTGCTGCTACCTGAAGCAGATGGAGGGGAGAGCAGAAAGTAAGTGCCTGTATATCCTTGTTCTGCACACTCCCCAGTGCGGTGTGTGGGAGAAGAAATTTACTCCTGAAAGCAAATTCAAGGCAGAGGAGGTGTCTGGACTTGAAAATTTATGTTAGACCCTTAGCACTTCCTTTGGCTATTTCTGAGCTGGCGTGACTAACCAACTTCTACCTCCAGTGTGCTGTGCTATCCCTACAGTCACCATCTAACCCACTAATTCACCCTGACAGGAAAAGCATCTTCATGATACACAGAACAATCTTTCAGCAAACTGCAGAGAAGAAGCTGTGAAAATTAGCATTCCTCCTCCTGCTCCCAGAGAGGCAGTCAACAGGAAGACCTGTGTTTCTTCCATTCTTTTAGGTAATAGGTGGGCTCCTTGCAAAAACTGTAGCCTCTCCCAAAAGCGAACTCCTTGGGGAGGCCATCAGTTAATCTTGCAAAAGCAGAACTGTGAGAAAAGGGAGTCTCTTATTGTAAGATAATTGTCATAAGTCAGCACTAGCTATACCTATTGCTCTGCCACAGCTCCTTTTTTTTTTTTTTTGCCTCTTATTTCCAGATGAATAAATGAGATCCTCCATCCCATGCCTCTAGCAATGATTCTCTCATCAAACAGCACAGTGCAGAGTTAAGCCTCAATTTCTTCTTCAGTCACCATATTTTTTTAATGCTAGCATAATTCAAATCCCAGATTACTGGCCTCTTAAATGATTTGCAGTGATTAATTGCTCAAGATGCAGTAGTGCATTCGTGTTGCAAAGAAACCAGAGCAGCGTAAGATCCTCACCTATACTGGAAGCACAAAGAAAATACACTCACTTTCCTTAATATGACCTCTGTCTATTGTGGTAGGGCTCAGACTGTGGCAGATCAGAATTTTTGCTCGTGGGGTGGAGGGTAAATTAATTTAATAGATGAATACGGAATAAATTTTTAAACTCAAGGCTGATTAACTTGAAGCAGTGCCAGAAGGTATCGTGGAGCTAAAGAACCGAATAGGGTTAGAAAAGAAGGCTTAGACACAGAACTAATCAGAACATGCGATGCTATATTAGATAGGCTAAAAACTGTAAAGCAAATATTACATTTTCATGCTTGACAACCAGTGCTAAATGGTTTGGATTTGTGAATAAACTCCTGAGATTTTAATTTCCCTTTCTATGTCCGTGTCACGCAAATGACTCAGTCATCCTGTGACCAGGGAGCATATTCACATCCTTTTCCTCTTTAGCTGTTTCCACCTCGTGAGCTCACAAATTCAAGCAGAAATTCTTGCCTTAAGTCCAAACAGCATGATTTTACGTTTTGTATTACCAATCTCCATCCCAAATAAACTTAACACCATCCACTAGGTCACGTGGGTCTTTTTATACGACATCATCATCCTTTTTACCTTCCGACTTCACAGTGTCAGTAGAGCACTCCCACAAAAGCACAAAGGCATTCCACTAGTGACCTCTATTAACAGACCTATATGCATGTCAGCAGAACCCACATCAACTTGGTTAGCCATCATATAGTTCTCAGTATATCCTCATATCTCCTAGCAAAATCAAAACGGTACACGGTCAGGACAGAGAAGTGGATTACTGGCCTGGCTTAGTACAGTGATGTGGTGTCTGAAAACAAGCCCCTTACTTGGGGTGGAAGTTGTCCTGCATACACTTCTGACCAGACACACTCTACCTCATTCTTCCACTGCCAGCAGTGCATTGCTCAGGTATGGATCATGACAAGTTTGGGAACAATCTGGGATCTTTATCTGAAGCACTTTGCTACAACTTATATTAAAGAGCAGACATCTGATTAGAACACCAGCCAGTGCTCCTGCACAGTTCAAATCCTGGCTTTCTCAAGCAAATAATGCACTGAATCATCACTCTACTCTTTAGTTTATTCATTTTCAGCCTGATTTCCAAAGGAAATGAGTCATAAGCAAGCACGTTTGCTGTGGTTGGCCTTAGTAACTTTCCAACCTGTCACCTAGCTGGCTTTGATGGAATGGCAGTTATCTCAAATGTAGTACGTTTACATACAGTATAAACAGAGGGCAAGGAGGAGATGAGGACACTAGAGGCCCAACCACACACAAAGGTGAAGCTTAACCTCAGCTTGCATTGGCAGGCAGAGCCCAGCCAGGTGGCACAGTCCTGACAGAGCCAGCTGTGCTCACAAACACTTTTCTTTGTACATTTGTTCAGTGCAATTTTAAGGAAAATAAAGTTTTCAGAGCTTTGATTTTTACCTCTCACTCTTCACTTAGTTAGAAAACAGCTGACTTGGGCATCCTCTGCCTCTTACTGTATCTGTTCTTGTTCTCTCCATCCCTCCCTCAGAGGCCATAAAGACTGCTTTCTGTTTTGGAACCTCACTAAAATGCAAAAGCTTTGGGCTACACACATGATTGGGTTATTATTTTAATGGAGGAAATGTTCCTCCCCCTTCAACCTCTCCTTCTTGCCAGTAAGTTTTCTCAGCTAGGGAGAGCTCAGGAGGGATAAAATTAAAAATAAAAAATAAAAATGTTCCGTCTCTATCAATTGTATGAAGGCTGCTCCAGAAGTAATGCCTTCTATTTTATTATGTTGGCCTATGATGTCAGAAGTGGATGTTGGTGGTATGGTAGTAGAGGTTGAAGCCTCCCTCCAGTATTCCATGACATGTTGTTGCCGTGTGACAGATGGCAGCAGAGGGGCAGTCTGACAAAATAGCAACTGACATGGAAGTGCGGATGAAGCAAAGGTGCGTCACTGAGTTCCTCCATGTGGAAAAAATGGCACCCACTGACATTCATTGATGCTTCCTGAACATTTATGGAGACCAAACAGTGAATGTGAGCACTGGTGCATTTCAGAAGTGGTGACAGCAAAAGATAAGACATGTTCCGGATGGCCATTCACAGCTGTCACACCATGAAATATAGAGTGTCTCAATCAGCTCATCTACATGAATTGGCAGATTATGGTTAGGGAACTGTGTACAGAGCTGAATATCTGCTTCAATGCATTGGAAATGATGCTGACAGCATTGGAATATCTCAAGGGTTGCACCAGGTGGGTCCCACATATGCTCACATGGGAACAGAAACATTTTCCTAGCCATGGTGCCACCATACCAGCTGTAAAACAGTGGGTCATTCCAGTGATGGAGATTTTTATGAGCACAGCATGCAGGTTCTTGTCCATCAGTGGCAAAAATTCATAGGTAACAGTAGTGACTACGTTGAAAAATAGTGTTTCATAGCATATTCTATTTCATAGAATTTACTTTATCAAACAGTGTTATTGTGCTCTCTGTATTTGTTGTAGCTTCCTTGGAAATAAATAGGAGTCATTACTTCCAGAGTGGCCTGCATAAATGGTCTGGAGACAAAAAGGTAGTGGCCTCAGCCTGCTTCCCAGCCCTTCCTTAGCAGATTCTGCAATTGTCTGTTTCTCCATGTCCTGGGAGGTAAGGTGAGCTGTGGCTCAGCACCACAGGGCACAGCACACAGGTGTTGTGCAGCCACATCTCCCAGCCCTGCTATGGCACGGATGGAACATTAGCTCTCAGCCCAAATTAATTGTGCCACAGTAAGCTGAGCCTGAGGCAGCTGTGGCATGTGCAATTGTCAGCAACCTCATTTGAGATTCTTCAAGCTGCACCAGCTGCATTTCACACCCCTGCTGTCAGCTGTTTATTCAGCAAACCACACCTAGCAATGGAAGCTTTGCCCTGCAGCAGAGAAGGTGTCTCGAGATCTATCAGTCCCTCCATAGATTCTCCCTATTTAAAGAAATATCCTCCTTGCCTCAGTGGGGTTGACAGAAGCTCTTTCTACTAAGGTCTTAATTTCATTACGTAGTAGTTCTCATAGTTTACTCTTAACAGTTGTAAAACATCTGATTGCACATGTTAGAGCCAGACAGCTGTTGAACTGCAGGCACTCATCAGATGGTTGTCGTTGTCTGATATTGCTGATATCTGATAAAATCGTGTTTACTTTTCCCTTGTGAAAACACCCAAGAGACCAGATTCCTCCAGTGGGTGGCAATATCAACAGAAGGCCAAAGGAAGAAAGGATATAAAGACCACACAGCAGGGAGAGAGTAAAGCAATGCAAGGTGAAATACATGGAAAAACAAACAAGGAAGGAGTGATGAAATAAACAGCAACTCGAACAGCAGAACTGAAGGTCAGACATATCTAAAGTCATGTTGACTGGACTAAACTGGACTAGATGAGTCCTGATTCTAAAAAACAGAGACAGGTCAAGGATTACTAGATAAATATAAAGTCAGAGTGAAGGGAACCTCCAGGCAATTTAGCTGGGCAGATCAACAATAACAGCCCTGGCAAAAACAAACAAGGGATTCCCATCTCTCCTCATGTGGCTGCAGGAGAAGGAAGTACTTACAGAGATCATAGAATAAAGTGATCCAGGCGTTAAAAGCTGACTGAAGCTCTTGTCTAGGCATCAAAAGCTGATTGAAGTTCTTGTCCCACCAATGGTCCTCTAGGATCTTGCTCCTACATCTCCTGGCTGGGAAAATCAAAGGCAAGGAGATTAGAAGATGCAATATGAAGATGATCTCTTTTTTGGTTGAATAAGGATTTGCTGATTCACAACTGGGCATAGATTTTGGCTTCAGAAAACACTCCTTGTTTGCTTGACATCTAGTTTTAACTACTACCAGCTAGGAATTTTCAGGAAATCAGTGGTGTTAATTTGAAGGACTAGTAACTACAGGAACAGGTAGGTCAAAATACTCTTTTCAAAAAAGAAGCTATGAGGACCAGATGAAAAGTTGTCAGAAATTCTTTGCTTCCCAAAGGCTTGGCCCTTTGGAGGAGAACTTCTGTATTGTACTGCTGGATCTGTGACAAAAAAAAAAAAAAAAAACAAACAAACAAACCACATAAATTACCACAAATTTCAGAAGTATTTCAGAAGTAACCTAAGAATCATTTTGAAGTAATGAACATTTCTGAAGCTTTCTTGAAAATTCAAAAAGTCAGGTATAGGAACTTTAACCCAAAACACATCAAAGGCAGAAGTCATTAATGCCTGCTGTTACGAAGTGCTTATGTATTCAAAAGTCTAGCTTGGAAGGTGTCACAGCAACCTCCTTCCATAGAACCTTCTGAATGAGTGGGCTACATGATGGCCATTGGGAGAAGCAAGTTTGTGCTCCAAGTGTGACAGCACAATCAGTAACCTGATTGCAGAACTGGACAGAAATCCATGCTCAAGCATGGTGGAAGGGTACAGGTAATGCATATTGCAGGTAACTTTTATACAAACTGTTCTTAAACACTTCCAAAGCTAAGACCCTCCACAACTTCTCTGAGCAGTCTATTAAAATGTTTATCTTTTCAGTATTGGGAAATTCTTCCCAGAAAGAATCTTTCCTGCTAAAATGTAAGCCCTCTTCTTCTTGCATACAAGAAGAACTGATTGTATCCTGGTTACAACCTGCTTCACATGACAGGGCTTTTTTCTTCTTATACATGTGAACATTCTAAGACTGCTTTCCTTCACTGTCTTCTTTATGTCTTGTACTCTGTCTCTTCTGTACCAGTTATTATTACCGGTGTCCTCCCGCAGTTCTTATCCACATTTTCTTGCAAGACTGTTACCCAGAATTAAATACGTTACTCATTTTTCTTGCAGACTTCTTACACATGCTGGTGCGCATTTTTTTTCATTAATGGTATTGCCTTGTTGACTGATGTGATGTGGGTCACCCCCCAGATCAGTTTCTGCGGAACTGTCCTTCAAACAGTTGCTTTCCCCCATCCCAGTGTGGGGTGTTTTGTTTTCTGCCTAGTTTTATCACCTTTCACCAGCCCCTTCCAGATTGTATCTTGTTTTTGTTCTGACACTGCTCCAGTCTGTGGGGACGCTTTGGACTTCTAGCCCTGCCTTCCACTATACCCCAGCATCTTCTCACATCTTGGTGTTATCTGAAAATTCACAAGGCATTCTGCAGTCTGTTATTTATATTTTTATTGAAAATACCAAATATCATGATCTAGGACAGATCAGTGCAGAACCCTACTAAATATTGCCTTCCTCTTCAGTAACAAAATTAAGTGTATTCATTTAGATGGCTCTCCTTCACTTTGCTTAAGAAAATGTCACTAGAATTTGCCATTTGACTAGTGTAAAAGCCAAGATGTGTAACATCCACTGTTTCTCCTTTATCTTCAAGATTGATCACCCTATCACAGACTGAAATTAAACTGATTTGTTCTGACAGCTCACATTAGCTGTTACTTATCTCCTAGTTGTCAGCTCTGTGCTTTCCAAGCCCCTAGAAGGGATGGCGGTAGGCAGAGGCCTAGGGTGGGCTGCTAGCCACAAAAATCCTGATGCACCAGACTTAGCAGCTCCTTTGAGAGCTGCTAGATGCCTATTAGTGTGTATGATGGTGGAAACATTCTTTAGTCACAAAGGTCTCTATTCTGGATGTACTCTTATACTGGTCCTTCTCCTGGAAGAGGTAGGAAGTACTCAGGAGCAGCAGAGAACTGAAGAAAACCAGGCTCTGTGTTGAAAGGAAAGCCTGGTCAAGAAAGCAGAAAGGGAAGGAACAATTGTCACCTGTCTATGAGTTGAGAGTCAGGCTAAGAAGAGGAAGGCAGCTTGGAAGAGGTGACTCTTTGGGCTCTCCAAACATTTGTCGATCATTTAGCATGAATCCCTCCCTACAGAGAGAAACAGCCTGTCATACGGTTTGGATTTTAATTATCCACACATTTCTCTGCAAGAAGAAACATACGGGTATATTTAGGGCTTTGTGGTACCTGGAGATGAATAAATGAGAACCATAAGCTGTAAAGTTGTACTGTCATTCTTGTATTCCCTTCTCACCCCATGAAGGGTGTTCAGGAACTAGGAGTCAGCTGATCAGATTACTGCCAGACATTATCAAGCTGTCTATAATTAGTTTCTTATTGGTGAGAAGCCAGAAAATCCTCTTTGTTTGCAAGCTTGGACTGTAGAGAAAAGAGAAATATTTAATGGAAGAGATTGTCTGGAAACTGTGGATTCTAATTAGCATCTCAGCCCTGTCGTGAAACTGTATGCAACATTTCTCTGAAAAAGATGCCGCTAAATATCCTCTTTGGAGGAACACTGGGTTGCATTCTTGAATGGCAAAGCTCACACGGGCTTGGTGCAAATATGGATGCCTAACAGCCTGCTCTGTTCTCTCAGCATAGCTTTCATACATTCCCTCACATCATACATCTTTCATGCCAGTCAGGATCAGAAGTTTTACACAGGTTAGAGATTGGGGCTGTGCCATCCACGTTGCTTGTGCAGCTTCACCTTCAAGATCACTTACTTAAATTTCAGAGAAGTCTGGATCAAAATAGTCCAGCAATCTAGATCAGTCAAGATCTTATTGGGCTGCACTCTGAAATTACAGTAGCTTAATTCCAAGGTTACCATCAATCTCAGATAACCCTTTACATTTAACCCTTTACAATACTTCACCTTATGAAAGACATGTTACCCAATGTTAGAATTTAATTATAATCTAAATTACTAACACATGGCTGAAATTTTCAGTGTTATTTAGTAACAGTATCCTCTTTAATTCCTCGAGTGGACACGATACAGCCATGTACTTCTATGAATAATGGTTACACAGACTGCCACACACAAAGATGGATACATCCATCAGTGGCACAGTTACAAGATTGCTGTCTGTTACAAAACATATTTGTTTCTTTTTTTAATCTGGTTTTTCTCAAGTTATATTCCAATATTTTTTCTTCTTAAACACAAATCAAACCAAGGCTTATCACTGTCATGTTTTTCTGAGGAAGAGCATCGCCAAGATGCGGAGCTTTTTGAAGTAAGGGAAGTACTATGAGACTCTCATAGTCTTCCCTATTCAAGTTCTCTACGCGATAGGAAGACAAAACCTGCTCAATGATACATTAAGGTCTTAATCATATGTCAGAACACAACCCTGAAGTGGTTATATTGAAGCATCAATCGCTTGTTTTCTAAAATAGAACAAGAATATGTTCCATCTCTCTGTGATTTAAACAGATTTTAAGTGAGTTGTTGGCTGCTATACTTAGGGTGAGATCATGTCAGAAAGTAAAGTATTTTGCAGAGTTTCATCATGGTTATTTCTGGGAACGACACTGTGAGTTTGTGAAATACACATAGAGTTTGTAGTGGTTGCAATACCTAGCACTTGCTAAGACGTAATAATCCACGCTTAGGCTGTTAAACTCCAGTGGTAAAATCAAGAATAAATGCAGTAAAGAAGAAATGTCCATGTCAGGCTCGAGCAGTAATGGGTCAGTTAGCTACTTCTCTCTGCTCTGCAGCCAGCCCAATTGATACTTGCTGGTTTGGTTTTTTTGTTAGTTTGTTTTGAATCAGTGAATGTTGTAGAGTAGTCATTTGTCCTGCTTGCTTCATTGTAAACTCACCAAAGTGAACGAAATACACTGTCAGTGGTTTTTTTTGTTTGGTTTTGTTTGTTTTTCGGAAGTCAGATCTCAGTTTCCCTAGATTTTTAGTCTAAGGAGAGGAAAGCAAGTCATTTGGATTCAGATTTCTCGTGTGGGTGTCTGATAGTGGTTCATCCACAGAACTGACTATTAGCTCTGCCATAGGACACCTGCTCTTGTCTCCAGGGGATATTTGCAAAGGCCAGAGTTCAGGCATTGCAGAATAGTTTCCCTCAGTGAGGACAGAGAACAGAAAAAGATGATTCAGAGCAAGAATGCACAGGTGCGTAATTTGTGTGCTAGAGGAGGTGCTGTCATGCAGGGAGACTAATCACCTGTGCCTGAATTACAGCGATGTAAATGCTGCTCCTGGTACCCAGGCTATCTTGTCCTGTGCCTTTATATCCTCAGCACCTTGTCCCAAACTTACCTCCATTTCTGTGCCCAGCCTTTTCCTCCTCAGCAGAGTTCACTTACCTACCCGTTCACCCCTTTCTCCACCCCAGCAGTTTTTCCTCCAGCCCCTCACAGCCCTCAGCCCCTGCCTCCTTGCCTCACCAGCATCAGTCTTTCTGTCTTTGTCCTAAGTAAGACAGTTTATCTCTGTTTAGTTTCCAGTTTCTGCAATTCTTTCTTCTCTTATTGGCTCACTGATAATGTTTCCTGCTCTCTAAGTTGCCAAATCCCTACTTTTTCCTAGACTGGATTGTGTCCAAGGTAGACAAAATATTAAAAAATTTGGGTACCAAAATCTAAGGCACCTCTGAGTACAATAAAGCCATACTCTTTTGGTTTTATTTTCAGAAAGTTATTGGTTGGCCAGCTCCATGATACCCCAGGCATAACAGAAGGCACCTGCTTGACACAAATCATATCTGCCAGATTTCAGATTGCAAAGCCAAATGATGAGAGGACATGAGACAAATCCAAAGAGACAGTCACCAGAGACCTTTAACAAGGGAAAAATAAGATGTGTTTCCCTAATCTGCTTTTCAAAAATACCTAAACAGTTTTGGCCGACATTTCCCAAAAGCAGACATTACATATGGAATATTTTAGTAC